CCCCCTCTCCGCAGCCAGCTGGCCTGGAGAAACCTTGTAGGGAAGGGTGGCAACTCCAGGCTGGCTTCCCTCTCTGGGGGGCACTCAGGAGCTGAGCAGAGAAGCCCGGGGGATGTGGATGGGGGCAGAGGGCAGAGCACCCTTGGCTGAGAGTCACGCTTCCCTCCTGCTACCCACGTTCCTGGCCCGAGAGTCTCCTCTTTTCCTACCCCCAGAAAAGTCTGCTCCGTGGGCACGCTGAGCCTAGCAGGAGGTGAGAAGGCAGGTGATGAAGGTGGCTGCTGAGCACAGAGCAATGTGCGTGGGGTCCAGGGCCGCGGGTGTCCCAGTGGGGCGGCAGGGGACAGGTGGGGCTTGCAATTCTCTAAGGAGGAGACCTTCTGGTTTCCCTGGTTTCCCCTGTCGCTTTAAGTCCCCTTCGGGCGGCTGGATACATTCACGAAAGCCAGGAGCTGCCACTCACTGAAAGATTCAAAAGTGCTTCAAGTGCACGGGTCAACGTGCTGGGCTTCAGGGCACGCTCCTGCTCCGCTGGATCCTGCCGAATTCACGGAGCAGGTGTGCAGGTGAGAGCCGGGGCACAGGATGGCGGGACTGCCTGCCTGGACCGGAGCTGGGACGCGGGCTTCCCGGGGCAACTCTGAGGGCAGAGGCCAGCTCGCGCTGGGCCAACACACGCTGCGTTTCTTTATGGTGCAGATGGGGCGACAGAGTTAAAAGGGTTTGCAGGCCATCAGCCAACCTGAAGGAGAGCTTGTCTCAAAAAACTCATCGGTATAATCTTTTTTTTTTTCTCCTCTCTTTTCGATATCCCACCCATCCACCCACCCTGCGTGGGCTTACGCTCACTGAGAGTCTGCATGGGGCAGGTGCTGCCGGGCCCCGGGAATTCAGGAAGGAGCCCCTGTCCCTGCAGAGCCACTGGGAACTACAGACATGAGGATGGGGGCTTCAACACAGAGGTGCCGGGTGGCACGGAGGCAGGCAGATGGGGCGGGTCATTTGGGGTGGACATGGAGAAGGCGATGTCTGGGCTGGGCTCTGAAGGATGGTGAGGCCGACAGTGAAGCCGAGAGGAGCGACTCGGCTCAGCGGGATGGCCCAGGGTGAGGGCTGGGGGTGGCAAGAGGGAACTCGCCGCCAGGTCATGTCACTCTCCCACTCAGGCCCGTCAGTGACCCCCCACCTCACTAAGGAGGACAGCCCCAGTCCTCACAGTGACCTGGGAGGTCCTCTGTGGTCTCCCCAGGCCCCTCGGGCCTCCCGTTCCCTCTGCTCCAGCCACGCTGCTGCAGGGTGGGGCGGGGAGGGAGGACGCCCTGCCACACAGCTCCCTGGAGAGCCTGGGTCCTGCAGGTCCTTCCTCAGGTGCTGCCCTCCCCGTGGGCCCTTCCCTTGCCTCTCTCCATCCCCTTCCTCATTTTGCTTTTCTCTCACCCCCTCGCCCCCCACACAAACAGAGTTTGCCTATCTTTGTTTATTGTCTGTCTTGTCCAAGAAGAATAAACGCTCGTGAGGGCACGGGTCAGTGCTTGAACCAGGCCTGGCATACAGTAGGTGCTCAATAAATATTTGTGGAGCGACTCAAGGAGTCTCCTCCACCCCCCCCTCCACTCCCCGACCACACTCCCCTCAAAGAAAGGGTTACTAAGGACGACGGGAAGCTAAGGCTTCTGGAGTTTCTCTGGAAGGTAAAGGGAAACCACACCTTCCAGATGCTTCTAACTAGGAGAGTGAGATAACCGTGTCTCTGTTTTCTAGGATAACAACCTGGCGGTGACAGTGACAGAAGGGGTGAGCAGGGAGGAGAAACCGAAGCAGGATGTCCCACCAAGGGGTCACGGCACAGCGGGTGGCGGCCTGACACGGGGCAGCGGAGGCAAAGAGCAAAGGAAGGACGTGGAGGGAGGTGCTGGAGGCGAGTGACGGGTCAAGGAGCCGAACTCCCGTTCTCTGCAGCAGCCCCGGAGAGGGAGAGCTCCTGCCCGCGAGCGCCGTCGGGTGCCCTCGGGTACACGTGCCTCCGCCGCTGCAAACAGGGGCTCTGGGCTTGGCGCCCGGAGCAGCCGGGGACTGTGCGGGGCACAGCTGCCCTTTGGACCCGAGGCGCCTCCGGGACGTGCATGGGCAGCGGCCTCTGCCCGGGAGGGGCGCGTGCGACTCCCCTCTGCTCCCCCACGCCCGTCTCCGTGTCACATCCAGTGTTTTTTTTTTCCCCTGGCTCCAAAGCTGTCACTCCGAGTGAGGTCGTCCTTCCTCCCTTCCGTTCGGTCCGCTGCTTTCACGGGACTAGCTGACCTGCCGACCCCACGTCTCGCGTGTCCTCGACCCTCTGCTCCTCATGTGGTCCCGCCTCCCGTCCTCCACCCTGGGCCCCTTCTCTGATTCCTACTTCTGGAACTTCTCTCGTGAAGGCTCCATGAACCCGGGGAGGAGTCCCCTCCCTTCCCTTGACCTCCATCCTTGTCTACCAGTTGCCTTTCCTCTGGATCAGGGTGACGGCGGGTCACGCTCAAGTATGAAAGAATCCGGAAAGATACCGTCACCTGCTGTTCTCGAAAAAGGAATCACTTAAAAGTAGGCTGGAGCCCGCTGAGAAATGTCCGCGTGGGTGGAGATGTCCACGCTGGCGGGGGCCGGGGGGTGCCCACGTACACCAGGAGCAGGCCGCAGCGCAGCAGGGAGGCAGGGCCCGGGCCCACACTGGCTGACGTGGCCACACCGGCCGTGACAACGTGGACAGGAAGGTCCTTCCCGTCACCGTGACGTCTGCGGGAAGCTGAGCGACACCGAGCTCGGGAGGCCACGGCTCCGGCGGCCGTTCCAGGTGCGCTTCCAGCTCCCCACCCGGCAGCTCCTTGAGTGAGCTCCGTCCTCCTGGGCCCTGGCGTCCCCCCGCGCCAGCCCTCGCCCCCAGGCCTGTCAGCGGCCCCTCATAGGACAGAGCGACGCAGAACCAGGTGGACGTAGGTCTTGTTTCCCCCCCTCGCCGCCCTCACAGGATTCTGAGGGAGGGCCCGCTCTGTAGATACCCGAATCCCGCGCCCCTGCCCCCATTATCCGATCAAAATTCGAGGCCCACCGAGGGTAGATTCCAGATAATTCATCCCATGAGGACGATTTTCTCAAATAATAAACAAGGAACAGAAAAGACTGATTTCTTCCTAGACTTGATGCATATCCCGTCTACCTGACTGTAAAGTCCGTGAGCGCCGGGACTGAATTCGTGTATCTTGCCCGTTGTTCTAGCCCCAGCCGGCGACACAGGGCCTAGCTCCTAGGAAGCTTCTGACCAGCTTCCGCAGAGCGTGAATGTCTTCTTTGTGCTTCCTTCCTAGGTACAGCAAGACGACCTCACAGGAGGCTCTGCTCAATGACCCGATCTTAGCCTGCGTCATAAAACGAGGCCATTCTCCTTGGGTACGCTAGGACCAAACTTGGTAAAAGACCCTGGGTCAGAAGCGCACACCTGCCGGCCTCGTCCGGGGCCCGCGCCCCTTTGTCTCGGATCCGCGTGCAGCCCGCAGGAACAAAAACTGGCTTTGTGTCACTGAGGGGAAAGCCTTCTGAGGCTAAACAACATTAACCTTTTCCCCTCCGCTGCGTTCAACACACTGGCTGCCTGTGACCCTGGGGGACTCAGGGAGAAATTAGTTTGAAATTCAGGCTAAAAAAAAAAAAAGTGCTTTCATATCTTCAAAATCCCAAGAACCTGCACATTGCCTCCCCCAAGAAGCAACTCAAAAATGCCAGGCTGCGCTGCAGGCCGCGCCGGACGCCCCTTCGTCCCTGCTGGTTGGCCGCTCTCCGGGCGGCTCGGGCGTGCTGGGAGCAGCCGACTTCCACCTGCATCTCCAAACGCCCAGGGCTGGCATTTCAGAGACACGGAATTTTGTCCATTTTGTCTCTGTGCCAACCCGGCTCCCCTAGGAGTCTCAAGGCCACGCCGACCTGAAAAGAGATCCTCTTTGCTTCTCTGCATTCTCCGAAGATGACCAGAAATAATCATAAAAAAAAACGAACAAAGGGATTACAAATTAATCTGCCCTCGCTGTCTCCTCTGACTGCAAAGATAGAATTACAAAACCCAGGATTTGCAAGAGACCTCGATTCCTCATTAATCTCCACTATCATTTCTATCATGGCTTTTTTTTTTTTTAAGCTCCTTTCTTAGGCAGGGAACGAGGGGGAGCTATGTTCTTTCCTCCCTCAACAGTAACTGAAAAATATGTCCTTAACATTTCAGAAAGCAGATCGTCCATGTGCTATAGCATAACCACTAAAGCGTGGAGGTGAAATGGCACGAGTGTCCTTTACGTCACCATCTGTTGAAATTAATGAATTTAAGCGTGGATAACCTAAACCTGAGGTTTCTTTGAAAGGCAGGAGTCTGATAGTCTAGGAAATTTCCAGGGCCTGAGAAGAATCTCCAGTTTCTTGACATTACACTTGCTTTTGTGGAGCACATTTTGACTGTTTGGAAACGGGCAGTGGGTAGCTTCTAAGCTGCGTTTCCCATGTACCTCTGGCCATCTGGAGCGGGGTCTGCGGAGAGAGCAGGTCCTGGCATTTTCTTGCCAGGCTAATGCCATGGGTCAGTGCTACAGTGTAATCAGAAAAGCAATGGGGGCTCTTCTCCTCCTCTTCCTGGAAATGTCTGTAAACCCTATTTGGGGTGAGGCTGTGCCAGGACCATTTCTATTCCAGGAGCCGAGGCTGCATGCTGACACTGAGAGAGCAGACTCCGTGAACTGGGGTGGACAGAAGCGCTCACCCGAGCTGCCGTTTACGTGGAGCCTGCACACAGTGCACACAGTGCACGGTAGCTGCTTGTCTTCACGATGCCCACGGTGGCTCCCGGTTCTGCTCCTCCCTGGCTAAATACCTGCTTGTGTTCCTCAAACTCACGCTTGGCAGAAAGTCGAGGATGGGGCTTCAAAAGGCAAAGCGTTAAGAGAGCATCCAGGCAGGGGCCCATCTCCGCCAGGTCCCACTCTTACCTGGGTATGGCACTCTTCCTTTGGTGACCAGCTCTGTGAGTAAGATTCCAAAAGACCACACGTCAGACTTGATCGTGAACCTCCCGTACAGGGCTGCCTCGGGGGCCGTCCACTTAATGGGGAACTTTGCACCTGCAGAAAGAACACATGGGTTACTCGACTGGCAACTGGCGGGGAGGATGGCGCCCGGTATGGGGTTGGGGGTGGTGGTGGGAAGTGCTAGGAAGCCACTTCCACAGGAGCAAGCCCGTAGAGGGGGATGGGAAGGCGGTGAGCAAGAGCGACCTACAACAGAGCAGCTGGTCCTGGCTCTGGGACCTCCAGCAAGCTAGTCTAATTTTAATTTTCCCATCAAAAGATTGGACTGCAAAGCTCCTTAAAAAGCTCTGGCTTCTAGAACTTGAATCTCTGACCACACCGAATGTCATGGGTTTGGTCTGGATGTGGGGCTGACTTGTGACTTAGGAAACTAATTTTATATACATTGTTTCCTTTGCTTTGAAATGATGTCCTATTTTATTTTTTTTAAAAGATTTTATTTATCGGGCATCCCCGGTGGCGCAGCCCAGGGTGTGATCCTGGAGACCCTGGATCGAGTCCCACGTCGGGCTCTCTGGGTGGAGCCTGCTTCTCCCTCTGCCTGTGTCTCAGCCTCTCATTCTCTCTCTGTGTCTCTCTTGAGTAAATAAATGAAATCTTAAAAAAAAAAGATTTTATTTATTTATTCAAGAGAGACACAGAGAGAGAGGCAGAGACACAGGAAGAGAGAGAAGCAGGTTCTCCGCAGGGAGCCCGACGTGGGACTCGATCCTGGGATCACAACCTGGGCCGAAGGCAGGTGCTCCACCGCTGAGCCACCCAGGTGTCCCATGATGTTGTATTTTAATTAATGCATAAAGTATCAAATCATAACACTACTCTCACGGATTCCTTGGCACAGGAGACCATGGTGTGCTCTTACGAGGTGCATAAAAACCAAATCAAGCCACCATGCTTCTCCCAAGGCGAAGACAATTCGCTGCAGCCCATGTATTTTCTTGCAATGGGCTCTATTTCCACAAGGCCTTCCACACGCACGGCAGAGAAATGATTTTGCCTCTGGCTCCTTCCCTCCAGCGCTCCCCCCTTCGCTGATAGTGGCCCTCTTTACTCCCGGGGTAGTTTTTTTCTTTTATACTCTAGGATCCCTCGCTTCCCTCCCTACCTTTCTCCTACTGGCCGGGAGGGTGCTGTTTAATGTTTGTTCTTAAAGAGCAGTCTTGCCTCAATGACTGTCTTACGAGTCTGATTTCTCAAGACCAAGCGACAAATTCGTAGAACCTTTTCTTTGAAAATTACTCGGATAAAAAAAAAAAAAAAAGAAATTTCTCGGATCACTTGGAGAATCCTCTCTCCAATCCAAAAGGAAGGGCGGCGTCCACCCTGCTCTAAGGCTAGATGTGTGTACAGGGAATTAAAATGGATTCGGCAGCCTGTGCTCTCACATATCAAGCTCAGCAATTATAAAGCAGTTCCAGATATTTCACTGAACAAACCAAAAGAAAAACACAGGGAATTTTTATTACCGATGGAAACACGATTGTATGTTGAAAGCATGTTAATTTTACTTAGGAGCTCCTTGAAAAAAAGGAAAAAAAATCATACAAAGGCTGATAGAATCAGAAATTTTCATGGTATCTTCTACGAAAAGTCACAATACGCAAAAGTGGCAAATAATTAAAATCCTTAAATGAGCATGGTTTTAATAACAAGAGCTATGATAAATTACAGCAATTAGATTTTTGTTTTAAACACAGTACATGATAACGTCTTTAGCAAATCTACCCTGGCATTTTCTGGCGATGTAATTTTCCTCTCCATCTCTTTTATGCCAGTGTGAAATGAAATTTAAAAAATCCTACTATTTCATTATGTGGCATCTCACATTTACGCTGGAGCGGAGAAGTTATTCTATAGTTTTCCTTTTGTGCACTGAGTTATTTTTAATTAGCTGTGTTTCTCAAGCATAATTATTTCTATCTTTTCTTACGTGCTGCATGATTCCACACAAGGCCTGGTATTCTCCGAACAGTCGTTTTGTTTTTAAAGTTTTCTTTCAAAGCGTTCTGCTGTGTGAGAACCTACCCTCGAGCATTCTGTTCACGCAGCTTTGGACTCTGAGCCGCGGGGATTAATGTGATAGATTTTCTTCAGTGTCGAGAACAGACTCTGCCCTGGACCAGACCTCAGCTGGAGTTCTCTTATTTCAGAGAATTAAAGGTATATTAAATTCATTCCTATTTAAACTATCTCTTGAGCCAAATGGCTTGGAAATCCATGTCCATCTCGAAAGCAAAAAGAACTTTTTTTTCCCCCTCCCCCGTGCCGACACAAAGCCTGTAAGTAAAATGACAAGCAAAAGGAGCTTTTCTTCCCTCCTCGGAATCATTCAACGTTTGTGAAGGTGTCTGTGCGTGCGTGTGTTGCTGAAAGTAAACCGTTCAAGATTTGGATAAAGTCATTTTGGATTTTCTGAGAGGAGATCTCACAATTTGAGGGTTAATAAAAGCCGAAACAAACGTCAATATATCAACCCGTTGTGCTAGTCGGGCTTTACTGTTTTTTTTTTTCATTACGTCATCTACAACAAGAATTAGAAGAATATGTAAACCTTCAACAGATCAATTCAAACAAAGGCTGCAAGGGATCTCTGATAGGAAACCGTTGGTGGATATGTGCTCTGAGACTTATTAGCGGGAGCTCCCGTAGATAAATTTATTTTGTGTTAGTTTTCTTTCTAAGATAAGCAATATATTTACACCCAGTACACATTTTGGAAGAAAAAAGAAAATAAAGACTGTCTTTGCCCCCAATTTCTCCTACTTCTTCTCAGTCTTAAAATAGCAGCCACTGTTGACAGAAGCAGCTTCCCTAAAGATACCTCATATTTTCCTCTTGAAGGCAGGAGAAAGGTTAATAAACGAAGGCAGCGATAGTGCATTGATCGTTAACTATAGTTTCAACAAGAGAACTGATGGGTGTCTGCTCTTCTACTCATCTCATTACCTCTGCTTCCCCTTGCCTTGGTTTCCCACCTCCCGGGGCGGTGGGGTGGGGGGTGGGGCACAGATGCAGCTCCAGACGGCTTGTGGCAGGTGGTGGGGTGTGTGTATGTGTGTCTGTCTGTCTGCCCAGGGCCAGGCAGGTTGCACACTGCAAACCCCAGGCTCTGAGAACAGGGTCCCCAGCGCTGGCTGGAGAACTACCTACACAATCCGTGGGGTAGCCCTGCTGGGGGCCGCGGGGGGCTCTCGCCTCAGGTGGAGTCAAGAAAGCTCAGAATCCTGGAAGGAGGATCTCCTGGGTGTAAATACTCTCTTTCCCTTGAAAATAAAGTTCTGTCCCTCCGTATATATATAAAAATAGATATATTTTTGAAGACATCATGACAGGCAGTCAAGTCAGGATCAAAGCCGTCTTCTAAGCAGGATGGTTTTGTAGAAAAAAGGAGGCGGTGTCCAGAGGCCTGCGCTACAATGGACTTGGGCTCTGGTATGTCACCAGCTGACTTGCTCTCCTTGAAATTCTCCCCTTTGGGAGGAGGATTCAGATGCCAACGCAATGTCCTCCCCTTTGCATTTTGTCGCAGGAAAGGTAGCAGACTCCGCAGGTAGGATAATCTGTGTCACGGGTGTCAGGGCCCTGGAGGACACGGTGACGCTCAGCCAACTTGTTCACTGTTTAGATGAACCCGAAAGGTAAAGGAATCATCATCACCCTAGCTTTTATTTCTGACTGAATTACATTAACACATTTACGATTCTTCGAGGCCGCTAGACAAAGGCTGTCCATATGTGTGTATTCAATGCGTGGACTTGAAACGTCTTTTCCACGGAGCGTTTTCCAGGCCGGGCCTAGGGCGTTGTGCCTCCCAGGGTGAAGCCCTTGCTGAAAGCCTGACTTGGTGCTGTCACCGAGGCCCGCGTCATGGAGCCACAGCATCCGGGCTTCTGCGCTGACCTTCCTGTAATCATAGCGAGGGCCAGTGAGCCTTAGGCCAAGCCACTTTCCATGGTGCGTAAACACGCCAGTGTTTTAAATAATAGTCTGTCACCGACATCTCAATCCTGTTTCTCCAGATCCTGTGGGGGTGTGAACTGAGTGGTCATAAACGCTGTGCACTGACGGGGATTGTGCTCCGTCTCTTGGCTTCGACCCCTCTCCTGACTCCCGTGGCACCTGCCCCGGATCATCCGATGGGCCCTCCCTCCTGGATCCCTGACCTGTAAAATGGATTCTCTCCTCCGTGTCTCCGCGGCGAGGCCTCAGAGGGCCTCTCAAATATAACAGCCAAAATTTACCTTCTGCAGAATTCTGCTTCTCTTTCACGGTTTGCTGCCTAGCAAACCGCCCGGCTGATGAGACCAGAATGCCAAGAGCCCTCCTTCCCTGGAGCTGCGTCTACCTGCCCATCACCCGGCCTCCCGGGGCAGCGCAGGGCCTGCGCGGGGAAGGAGCTCAGGACATCCGCCCCGTGTCCTCTGCGGGTCCTGTTGCTTTGTCACTCTCGGCGCTGCGGCCACCTCACTCCTGGGAAGGTGTCTGGGTGTCCAGGCGTCCTCGCCACCCTCGTGCTAGCCCTTCCTCACTCTCCGTCGCCTGCCTGCGCTCCTGGCAAGGGCCCTGGGGCCGGGCCCACGCGCACAGGCTGGTCCTGCCTCTTCTCGTCGTCCTGGGCCTGCCCCCCGGGCCAGCCTCTCCACTGCCCTCCTCTGAAGGTTGCTACCTGCGGCAGGGCCACCGGGCAGGCTGCTCCCTTTGCTGAAGCGCCCAACCACGGCTAACTCCTGCTCCTCCGTTCTCAGCCCAAGTGTCATTTGCACAGGGAGCCTTCGCTTGACCCACAGAGGCAGGGGGTGGTGCCCGAGCACCGTGCCCCCTCCCCTTCAAGAGCCTCGTTCTGGACGGCCACCGTGTCTCCGGTGCTGAGACCAGTGCCTGGTGCATGGAAGAAACGAGATAAAGGTGTGTTGAATGACTGAGTGACCGGGCAGCTGATTAGCCCTCCAGGCTTCCTTTCCGGGCCGAATCACCATGGCTCCTTATGAGGCTTATTATTAGTTCCCTGCTCTTCGGCAGGGCCCCTCTTTGTC